CATTATTGCCTATACTATTACCAGTTTTAGACTTTGTCAAATACTCATTTTTTTTGCTTATTTTACGAAAAAGTTTATTATTGCACGATTCAATAACAGTATTACAAGAACTGCTGTATTATCTATTAGAAGATACTTTCTGATTTATTTTTATACTGCCGGTTAAAAATTTTCGGACACATGAATATTTCGATATTAATTATGCCTTTAACATCATATTAACATGCATATGCTAAGTAAATTTTATGTTTTTTATATTTTTAAAATCTTAGTTATGCACTTATATTGTTTTACACAGCAATTCATATAAAATATCTGTTCAATGACAATGTAATGATTCGTTTACTGTCCTAACGAGTTACAAAATATATAGAAATATAGATTTTGAATTATTATATTGTCTGCATAACAACAATATAATAGTATTATATAATGTCGTTAAAGCCAATAGCATATAATGCTTTTTTTCTGCTGGATTTTTAGCAATTTTTAGCTGGATTTGTGTACTTGCTACCATATTAATTAACAACTGTTAGCACTGCAACCAATACGATAGCAAATACGCAAATCCAATTAGAAATCCAGCAGACATTGACTCTTGAGTATTGATCATGTAACTTTTTCCCTAGAACGAAAACGTAAAAAATAAAAATTTTTGTATATATGTGTGTATATGTTTATACATACATATAAAAATTTCCACTTTTCTGTTCTAGGAAAAAGTTACATAATTGATATTCTTGACGTAATTCCTGAATGCAGCTCTGATTTTCTTCCATCATAGGTAGACATATGTAAAGATATTTGCTATATACACATGTAATATATTTATAGATATATAATATTATTATAGATATATATTATTATAGATATATAATATTACATATTTCCAGAAGTAAGTGTAATAATTAAAATTATTTGCTATTTAGAGAACTTGTATAATGAGTAGAGTATATAGATATTTATAGGAAATGATTTATTTATAACACTTTTTTTGAATTTTCAAGATATGAAAAGGAAATTGAAATACGATATGAAAAAGAAATTGAAGTTAAATTGTGACATATAGGTTTTTACTTTTTATAAAAAAGAGTACTCCGTTCGTAAAATAGCGAAGAAAACGTGAATTCCAAACTCGACGGTCATAATCATCATTTTTGCGATATTGTGGACTGTCGAATTTGGAATTCGCGTTTGCTATTTTACGAATGGAATATTCTTTTCCATGAAAAGTAAAAATCCATGTCACGATTTAACTTCAATGTTTTTTTCATATCATACTTCGATTTCTTCTTCTTCTTCTTATGTTAGAGGCCTCTAATCTATGTTACACTTTTTTCATATGCTGGTGCGCACGCTGTTCAATTATTCAATTGAAATGCAACTAATATTGTTGAAAAAGTCTATGGAATATAAACTTAAAAAGATTTTATTTTGAGTTTATGGGAATTATGATTAAGACACTACTGTGATATCTTCAGGAAAAAAATTTTTTATAAAAAAAACTGTGTCACAAGGTTTTCTGTTCATTATAGTATTAATAAATTTTATAGTATATATATATTTTTATAGTATTAATATGTTTTAA